GAACGTCTTGTTGTTGAGCCCTCACCATTTATCAAAAATGTGAAAACCAGCTGAAAGGTCTGGTGAATATTCTTGGAATTGAACAGCTAGTTGATATAAAGAAAAGTAAATGATCATGGTGGTACTTAAACTACTACATAGTAAGAAGAAACTGTATATAAATAGATCTTCAGTGACATCTCTGATTAAATAGTCTCACCTAAACATGGGGGGTTGGTCAGTAGGATTTAAGACAGAATTTTGAAGCTTTTAATTGAGATCTTTAACACCCCTCCTTCTGCCCCCAGATAGTTGAGATGTGGCAATGTAAACATGGAAAAAGTCTACTAATGCCAACACACTGTTTATGAATTCTCACTTTTTCAAACCTATTGACAAATGAGATTGGATTTAGCAGTATTCAATTCATTAGGGTACAATGCTTTCAGTTTCAAAATTATCTAAAAGTTAAATATTAAGCTTAATTTTATCTACACAAGAAATTTACCTTCTCTCCTAACTGCTCATGAAGTGATAAGCTTGTCAAAATGGATAATGCAAACACAATTACTGTCAGGTTACTATGAGACAGAAAGGCTATTAGAGTCCGGTAGAGTGATTTTATGTTCTCCTGCAATGACAAAATTAGCCTCTAGATCAGTAAACCAAATCAGTGTTTCAAAGTTACTACGAGACTCAAAAAATCTGAGAATACTAAAAATATTCAGAGCATGTGATTGTGTTTTAGGGACAAAACAACTAGGTGTTCAGAAAACTAAAACCAAACAGCAATAGTTATAAAGTTGAGGTTAAGATAGTTGCTTGTGTATTTGCCACGATTATTTTTATTGGTCATTTTGGTAGAAATAGAAATTGACCTGTCAGAATCAAACCAAAATGTTCATAACTTTCTGAGTTTGTAGGTAAACTTTATTGTTATTATAAATGATATGCAAGTTAAACTAACAGTAAGCTTTAATGCTGAGCAATACTCAAATCTGAAAACTTTATTTTTGCATATCAGATGGCTAGGTAATTACAATCTTGAAAAGAAAGTACAGTGTAAAATATTGCATAGTTTCATATACAAATTGCACTGTAAATATATGCAATCATTACACATGAAAATGAAAATCAGACTTGAAAGGGATAACTTAGCTCACCAGTGCCTTGACATGGGCTTGGATTGGCAGATTATGTCGGCATAAGTTTGCCAACAGACCTAAACATGGTATAGTAAGGTCTGACTCTTGCATCTGTCTACGTTGAGTGAAAAGGTAGAAAAGATTAAGATTATCATGAGAAAGTAGAATTCTATACTTATTTTATAACAGATGGACAGACAAACTGAAAGATGAACAAACACACAGCTGGAGCAACAGTTCTAAAGACAGACAGCAACTAGCATAATTAAAGTGAACAAAAATTATAACAACTCAGACAAAGTTCTGCAATCTTTGTTCAATTACATTAATACCACAACAAATGCTTGCTGCTTCCTTCAATGCCCAAACTATCATTTTTATGTTTCCCTTGAACTGTTTTCTCCTTCCTCTTCTCTTCTCTTCTCTTAATAACAATCATGACAAATAATAAACTTTGCTTATTAAACTTCCCAAATGTTTCATCAACATAATACTATTATCAGCCACAGTAATTTTATGACAGCAGCATTGTCATCATATTTAACAGCAATAGATGCTTTAATTCATCATGCTGTACATAATATTTTCAATTGATATTTGGTTAACCATAATAGAAATCCACATGTACCTACATGTTATTCACTAAATATCTGATCAGTTCACCAATGTATCCACTTGGTGTAGTGAATTTACAGCCATATGTGACTCTTTCCAGAAGTTTCAGACACTTTGAATTTAAAACAACAGAAATGGTAAATATTTGTACATGATTGTACAACTGAATTCACAGAATTTTTCCTACACTAGAATGGCTACATCTCTAAATTCCAAACTATCAAAAAGATCTGTCTTTAGCAAACCTCTGCCCAATAAGATTCCTTTAAAGATGAGACAAAACAGTCAGGGTAACATACAGCACCTCTCATATGAATTGCAGCATTACATGCTTGTGATACATACATGCAATTCCCACATTTTACACAGGCAAAACATGCACAATGTCTAACTATGTACAAATGCATATGGTAGAAAATGCATGCAAGTAATTGTGACATGCATGTAAATGCAGCAAAACATGCACAGTGTAACTATACACAAATGCATGATTGTGATATGCATGTAAATAACATGCAATCACATACAAGCAAGTGCAACTCCCATATTGTACACAAGCAGAACATGCACAATGTATGCAACTTAAGCAAAAATGGATATGGTAAAAATGCATGCAAGTGATTGTGAAATGCATGCAAAATTTAATCACATACATTAAAATCAGTCCACTAAAATTCATTAAATGCATACACTAAGATAATAGTAATAAGATAAACTAACCCTAACTTTGAGAAAGTAAACATGAAGGGTACCTGTAAAATCATTTTGCCATTTGATGCTAGGTGATGTTTATGAAGTAGAGCTGCTAATGTAGAGGTCAGGTGATATGTGGAATGAAGAGTTTCTCTTGTGCTTCTGTCATTTGCTGATTGAGTGAGATGGGAAGTTATCAGCTAGTTGCAATGCAAACTAATACTTTGAATTCATAACTTCCAGATTAAACTCAAGTCTCTAATGTTCTGATATTTATTTCATTCAACATCTTATTTGACCCCATGGCTTTTAAAACAAAAAGTTGTAGGACATTTTATGTTTAGTTTCACAAAGGCTACATTTGGTTTGCAAATTAAGACTGTATAATGCACTACCAAAATAGACCTTTCCAATGAAATCCCCTTTTATTGATACTCTAAGAATCAGTGAATGTAGTTTACAATGTACATGTTCAGTGAATTTGTGATTCAACAGGACCAATGCCCTAAACCCTTCAAAGATTTCAGTGGATTTCTCCACAAAAATAATATATATATATATATATATATATATATATATAAATTGAATAACAATAACATACTTCAAGCCAGATATGTGCTGTAGCTCTAAAATTTCAGCACAAGCATGCACAAGTTCTGAACTCATACCTCGTTAGCTTACAAATAAAAAGAAGATAACTGGTCAACAAATACTACATGGATTTTAAGCTTTTACATGTGCTTGTGCTGAAATTGTGAAGCTCCCCCTTTGAAATCACTCACCAAGATTAAACAATAATGCCATAGACTTGGTATGTAGACTTGGTTTCACACTGCTTTCACTCAATAGACCCACCAGTGAAGAGAGACATTCTGCAGGAAGAAGCTCTTTGGCATTAAATCCACGAAGAGGTTTCCCAGCTGAGGTGATTCCAATTAAAACCTGATATAAAAAAGAAACACAAATAGAAATTTGAGTCAATTGGCAAAAAGTACGAACATCTAAAACAGGATTTCTCACTTTTCTCATCCAGCTGCATGAGTGCAATGTGGGATAAGAATCCAACTGTAGAATTTTTTAACAGTAATTTACACCTAGTCAGCTTAACGTATCTGCAGTTAGCCACTAGTATACATTTAACATTTAACCCTTCACCCCCTTACATCAGTATGCATATCCTCCATGCTGTTCTCTATACATTTCTTAAGGTGCTGACAAGGAGAATTTTTTTAAAAATCAACAGCCTCTTCAGCTAGTGATAGTTTCCGTTATTCTTGTGACCTTAGTGTTTGATTCAGGGGTGATATTGAAAGGAGAAATTAGATACTTGTCATTCAAAGGAGTTTTAACCCTTTAAAAAGGGTTAAAGTTAGAGATAAAGATCAGCTGAAATTACGCCTGGAATAAACTTTAAAATATTCGCTTATTTGTCTTCTTTTCAATTTTTTACCACAAATTGAAGGCTATCTTATCCAATATGGTTCCTTGGCCCCAGATAATTACAGATCACCCAAACACCCAACCCAAACTGTTTTATTATTTAATCACGACTATGACTCTATGCATTTATGCTGAGAAGCTCTTAAAAGAAACTTTTAAAACCTGGAGATCAGTATCGTAACAAAACTGTCGAATTTCTAAAGATTGTCATGTATATACAGTTAGACCACTAAAACAACGCCGAAGAACCGATTTTCCCAGAAGACAATCATCCACTGCTTATTTCAATGTTTCTCATTTTCACTCCAATTTCATGAACTAATAAGATTCCAATCAGCAACTTACATCGATTTGTCGTTCAAGATCCTTCGTGTTATGATCAGTGTTGTGACTTCTGTATTGACAAAACGCGCTTGAAAGTGCTTTGAGACAAGCTGTCACATCCAGCGACATCTTGAGCTTGTGAAAACCAATCTTCAAGAGCCACAATCGTGCAGTAATACTAAGGAAAAAAAATAAGATGAATTCCCTTCGCCAGTGTTGTTAGATTCTCTTAAAACTGTTCCTGTAGTTTCAAATTCCCGCGCATAACATGATACGCATCGAATTTTACGGATTGCCGCTGACAAAACTGTTTGGGAGCAATGTTGGGTTGTTCCAAGGTCGGATAGCACTATCCGCTGGATACATCTCTATCCGGTCTAAACCGCCATACCTTTTGCCATCACTTATCCGCTGGATAGCTATTTATCCTTTGGATAGCGTTATCCGACCTTTACACAACCGAGCCCTGCTGATTGGTAAGTAAGACCTTATCAGGAGCTGGTAAGGTGACTGAAACAGGTTTGTCATTTCTTCTCTCAAGCTTACCCACAATTATGAG